CTGTTAAGAAGATATTACAGATTTAATCTGAGGTTTCCTTTTATAGGAAACCGACTCGCTCGAACAGATATTTACACTCGCGGTCTTAAGGTTCATTCGTTCCTCTCAGAAACATCGTGAGGAACATTTTTACGCGCAAAACAACATGTAACATTATTTCCGAGCTAAACGTTAAAATTCGACATCTAACACTATTCTTCATGAACTTTTGCACCCAGCTGCAACTTTGATGAAGCTATTTCATTGCAGACCTACGCTAATTATGTCGTACATATCACAGATATCTCAGCTAACAATGTCTGAAAAACACTGAGCATACAGTCTACAAGACCAACATGAGTCTAGTGAGTCTAGGGATGCTTCTATTCAAAAAATACACCCGGAGGCGGCGCTGAATGTTATGTTCAGCGTTCAATGTTGACAATGTAATAAGGTATATATCGAGAAGATCTGCCAGAAATTGAATATACGGATTATTGAGCAGTCCGCCTAAAACAGATTGACAACTCTGGTACTGAGCAACACGTCTTTTCTGAGGGACACTTCAGACAGACTAATGTCATTGGTAGGGACCAGTCAAGGCCTGGTCTTTAATAATACAGTCTACGCACATTTTGGTGATGAAATATCGTACGTGCAATGAATACTTCTCCTACGGTGTGATAGATGGAAGCTTATGTGCTGATCAAAAAGTTCAATATGGTTTAATGAGTGGCGAAGATCAAAGCCGAAATTTAAAGCTATGTATATGCAGGCTAAACTCTGGCATTAATCTGTCACTCACTTGAAAATAATGTATGTTTGCATGTGTGAGGCGGTTTGTTGCGTGCCATATCGGAATTGTTCCCTGATAATTTAACTCTGTTTGTAGCGAAACGGCTTGGCAATAAACTGCTAGCATCTGAAGAAGTTTGGTGCCCTCAACCACGAATTGGCGAAAGATCTGCAATTAAACCTCTATTCGAAGGATTTTGTGAGCGTTTTCTCGCAAGCATTTGTTCGCGTCATTAGCCAAATCATTTAGACGAACAGTGCGCACTCTCGAGTCACAAAACGACAGGTCAAGCTTTCGCTCTAATGACAGAGTAAACGAACAGAAGATTTCACCTGATCACACAGCACATTCTCTTTGTCGTTCACAACGTAGTTGGCGAAACGCAGCAACGAAGCAAGGCGTCGTCGGCGGTCAGCGGTCAACAGCAACAGCAACAGTTTGCAGGCGGTGAGTACTTTGTCGGCGTCTTTTGTGACGAGGATTTCGATGATCTGTCTGACTATTTCGTCGTAGCGCTCCGGTACAACGGCCTGATCTTTGGTGAACCGTTTAAAATGATCGACCACTTTCTGAAACATCAGCAAACGCTGTTCGATGACCGTTGGTTTTTGGTCAATTTCGGACAACAGCGATATTTCCAGTTCTTGTAGACAGAACGCGGCTGAGTGCAGCCAGGGATCAGAGAAGCTAAGAGAAAACGAAAACGGTGGAAAAGACGCCAGCCGACCGTACGGAAACGTGAAGATCCGTTGCTACTTACTTGAACATCGACGACGGAATGTCTCGACAGCATTTGTGGCTGGATTTCTTCTTCGAGCTGAGACTGATCAACTTTGAATAGCTTTTATTGAAAAGATGATCCCAGGAATGTTCGACGGCTCCGAAATTAGCATCGTCCTTCGTGAACAAGATGCCATCTAGCACAGGCACTTCGATCAACGTTAACAGCTTGAAAAGAGCAACGTCGTGAACCACGTGAGCATCTAGAACGGAACAGAACCAGATGTGAAAACCAAACCGTCGCTAAACTCGAAAATCGTGTAATACCCAAATCATCGACCGTGTCTACTGTACAACTGTGCTGGACACTCGAAGAGCTGTCAACCGATGACAAACTGCTGCAGCTCGCGACATGTCCTTCGGAATGCGGGAACTATCAACAAACAGTTTCAGTTTATGCAAACCATATTTACCTCGCATGAAACTTACTTTACTCTACTTACTACCAACATGTATTTCAATAACAATGCTCCTGGCAACGTGTCACAGGAAGAAAATCATTAAACCCAGTTAGTAATTCAACAGTATGGAATGCCTGTCAGTCAGTTCTGAGACAAGTGAGAACACGGCTAAAACATCTGGCCAACAACCGGATCGCTCAGAGCACCGTGACTAAATTTTAAGACAGAAACCAACGGAAACTTGCCTTGAAATCTTGCTGACCAAAATTTCAAGGCAGACAAATATCACTCTTAGTCACATCGGTCGCTCGCCGATGTTCATTTCTCACATTTGTCAACTCTGGGTATGCTCCTTACTTCAAATCCTTTAAAAGAATCGCTGCCATCAGCACTTCGTAGACTGCTGTGGTACATTTTCGATGTCTCTCCGTATGCGTTCGGCGTTATGCACTTTCGCTGACTTTCCAACATATTGGGCAAGCGCGGCGTGCCACTACTCGCCGGTGACAGGAACAGCGGCCGTGTCTGATGGTCGCATCTATAAATTGACTTTTGCACACTGCACAAATACGAAAATGATACATTTACTGATTTTCGAAAACCTAAAGCTAATACAATAAACTCAGTTTAAAAATATTGGTAAGTTCCCTAACATAATTAATACTATACAGCTTAGGAACTTTCTGTTAGTACATCGGATGTAGTAGACTAAACACTGCTGAAACGATACATTAACCATGTAATGTAGCACAAAAATATAGGTTCTTACGCAGAAGCATGTTAATAAACGTATAACTCCTCAAAAACCGGATTTTATGACGTTGCATTATCTTCTTGTTCATAACACTACAAATACTTTAATACCATTTAGCTGTGGCCTGTAAAATAGCCATCCACGCATCTAACAACAATGGAACAGTGCCATACCCCGTTAAATCGGTTGTGGAGGAGTCAGTGTAAAGTAAGTGACTGTTGAGGATTGACGGGCAGTCTATTTGAATTACTGGACCTCGGAAAACGGTTACGACATACCCGCGCCTCCTGTCACTGCCTGCCATTGTACCGTGTCGTGTAGACTGTGCAATATTACTGCAAGTCAATCATTATGCCGTACTTGGCCTGTAATTTGTCGATAACTGCGGCCAAGCTCCATCGTAGTCAGTTCCTCTCTGATAATATCTAACCATAGAGTTTTGACCTGTTTCTCGGCATTTTCCAGTATGGATTCGGCACAATACGAATCATGATGTTGATCAGCCATTTGTCGATCCGCCGTAACGCATGACCGAACAGCGAGAGACTTGTTTTTCTTCTATTTCATCAGAGGGAAATGTTGATACTCGCCCCCTTGTACTCCATCTGTGCTTGATCCAACGTCGACTAGTAATAGAACATTCGTGAACTTATCGATTAGTCCATAGACGAGTATTCGGAGCCAACAACTGCGTTCAAACATGTCAGTGCATCAATTTCTTTCTTGACAAGAGGGGTCAATCTTGCCGCAGCACAAAAATCAGTACTGATCGAACAGATATCAGACTGAGGTACAGACAGTTGCATTTCACAGATTTTGCCTAAGCATATCATATACAATTCCAGCGTTTCTTATTTTTTCTTGAACATCTACTTCACAGCTTCCATCACTGATTATAAATCCAATATAGCAGAACTTGGTGACGCACTGTACATTTTGCCCGTAAATTTCTGGAACATACTGCCATACCGGCAAACTTTGAATTTCGATGATTTCAGTCTCGTGTCTAACAGCCATACACCAACATTTGATTTTTGCTTCATCGTCATCGTCGCCAGCCTTTTTCAATCATAGACAAGTAACAGCGTCGCAGGTTTTTGTCGTTTCGGCTCCCACGTGAGATTACAATGGGGAGTAAACCCTGTAAAGACTCGTGATGAAAAATACGGTAACTCCTCGCACTTTCACATCGTTCCTTACATCGCGCAACATTCACTTTTGTCTTCCACTTCTTTTTCTCCTGTGTGTGTCAAAATATGGACCGCAATTCAAACGCACTCGTCGGATCTTCTTTTCAGACTGCCGAACCTACGCAAGGATGCATAAAGGAGAACGAAAATCTGTAACTGCTAGGAAATCAGTTTCCCTTTATGATTTGACGCAAATTGTGGCACCCTTCTTTCATTAAGCATATGCTGCATGTAGTATAGTTGATCTCTGCGACGGAAAACCAACTCTGCAAAATCGACAAGAGTGAAAATGGTATGAAGTACGTATGGAAGTTTGAAAATTCTTTTATTTGGGAAAATGATCCCATGCTGGAAATGGAAAGTCCCTGATTTGTGCTTAAACGGAGTAGATATGAACTCTTAACATGAAAACTGTTCACCACGCAGCATGAGAAAGTGCAAGCTGGAAGTAACAAATACGAAGACGAACGACCGGGTGAGGACACAAACGAAAACCTGCGACGTCACTGTATAAGTGGAGAGATTGAAATGACAATGGGCAAGAAGAGCTGACAATCGCTGGATCAAAAGTATATTAGACTGGATTCCAAGAGTAAACAGTTTGGGGGAAAACTTCCAGATCGATT